GACTGACAGGAAGTGCACACTGAGTATGCACCTTCCTATCATTCCAGCCGGGCACCGCGGACCGGAGAGCTCGGCCACGCTACAGGCGAGGGGAGGGAAGGTGAGGGGAGAAAATGTGCTGCAGCTGCCTGAGGCTCTTAACAGAGCGTTCAGGCGGCTGCAGAATTTAAAGGGCCGGCCCAGCAGCGACCGGTCTTAAAATGATTTGGGGCGGCCTGGGGGGCAACTGCCTCCCTGCCCCCCGGCCCAGCCCGCCCCTGGACATACTGACAGACAGAAACACGGACATATTGACAGATTCACACTTTTAAATCTACTCCCTGTTTCCTACAAACGCCCACCGGGTGGCCCTTACTGCACCTCCTTAATGTGCGTCCCTAAGATCCTGTGGATACTTAAAAGATCACTATAGTGTCAGGAAAACAAAGCGGTTAAAACCCCTTCAACCACTTACCTTAATCCAGCGCCAGGATCCCTCGGCGCTGGTGACCTCTCCTTCCGTCCAACGTCAGCTTCCCCGTACGACATCACTGGAGCTGAATGCGCATGCGCGCGCATTCAAAGTGTCCATAGGAAAGCATTTCTCAATGCTTTCTTATGGACGCTCTGCGCAATGGAGGCAAAATTTGCCTCTAGCGTCGCAGATGCGCCTCTAGTGGCTGTCCGGAAGACAGCCCCTAGAGGCCGGCTTAACCCCAAATGTAAACATAGCAGATTCTCTGAAACTGCTATGTTTACATGTGAAGGGTTAAAACCTGAGGGACCTGGCACCCAGACCACATTATTGACCTGAAGTGGTCTGGATGACTATAGTGTCCCTTTAATTTCAAGGAAGCTGCAATCCAAACTGGTTTGGGGATGCTTATGGTTATGTGAGGGTCCCTTACAGCATGTGGCTCTTTAAGTGCAACATATAGCTCTGCATTTAATACTGGAAATGGTTAGAGAGACATTTTGTAAACCCAAGTTAACCCCTCGAGCGCCAGAGGCGTGCCCAACGCATTGCAAAACACGCATAGTGCTAATGTTTAGTTGCCACCAGATTTCCCCTTTGCATTGCAGACTCCCATGCCAAGCCTAGGGGTGGGCAATGTGTTGTTTTGCTGTTTAATCTGCACTTTTTATTATCTGAACTGAAATCCCTGCTGCTGTTTTGCATAATTTTTATTAACCTGTTCAGTGCTGGAAGCCACTGCAACTAAGTCTAACCATTACATATCCCAAATGTTCCTGCCAGGCAATGTTTCACCAGGCCTTCTCTTAACCACTAAGTGACAAAGAAACATGTTAACTATTTGTGCACTGCTTGTTATTGTGCAGGGAGCACACAGACACTCGAAGGGTTAAAACCACTATCAGTAAATACTTTGCTTGTATGGAGAAAAGGATATCTACTTTCAAAATGAAAAAAATAAAATAAACCTTAAAGGAAGATC